CGATGCAAGCAAATATCCATGCGTATTTTCTTACAGTTTACGTTTTTTTAGGTATTTTGTGTTTTTGCTATGGTCTCTGTCTATTAGTGTGTAAATGCCGCAGAGTTACATGGCTGATACTAAAAGATGGTATGACGGCTACTGCGTACGCCCTTGTGGTCACCGCTGGGCACTTATTTCCCTTGAAGGTGATGTGTTTGATCACTTTCGTGCTTCTAGCAATATGCACACCGCCAATATTTTATTTTGTATGGAGATATTGATCGAGTTAGTAACTAATTGTTGTAAGATTGTGTAGAAAAAATATTGGCATTGAGAGAGGGAAAGGGTTAAACAATCATCCATTTGCTGATGATGGTGGTGTAAACAATCCTCCAACTCGTGATGGTGGTCAGGAAAATAATTGTTCACAGTTGAAAATGCATACATTTTTCTAGGTGCAATGGTTGCCACCATTATGACTGCATTGCTGTTTGATAAGACTCTATATGATAAGTCAATGCAAGCCAAAATCCATGTGTATTTTCTTACAGTTTGCGTTTTTCTAGGCATTTTGTGTTTTTGCTATAGTCTCGGTCTATTAATGTGTAAAGAGAAATGCTACAGTTACCGAAAAAATATACCAAATTTATGCACCAAGCAGACATGGCACCATCCGCTTTTTTCAAAAACAAAATTCATAATTAATGAATGGTCATGATGGTGCCATGTCTATCAGTGCATGAATTCGGTATCCCTTTTTCGGTGACTGTATCATTTTCCATGTGCAAATGTCACAGAGCTACACGATGGGTACTTAAAGTTGGCATGAGTCGCATGACAGCTATTACTATGCTATTGTGGCCATTGTTAGACTCCTATTTTCCTTACAGGTGATGTATTTGATACTTTCGTGCTTCTAGTAGTATGCACACCGCCAATCCTTTGTTTTGAATGGAGATTTTGATCGAGTTTGTAACTAATATTTTTAAGATTTTATAGAAAAATATTGGTTAAATAATTCATAAATGTTTATAGAGGTTTTGACCGTTTTTCATGGTATTTTGCTATCCATTAATATCTTTTTTTCTTTATTGTGGAAACTTTTTTTTTTTTTTTTTGTTAGATAGATTAGCATGTTAATTCCAAAATTGTTACAAGTGGGAAATTCATGTTTAGCTCACTCATTTATCTAATTGATTAACTCTGGAAAGAATACTTAGAGTACCCATAAACACTAAAACATATGTAAGAATGAGATACATGATGTCCCTTTCGAAATGGTCCAATACTCTGATCCCTTCCATCCCATTTTTGTTGGAGGAATTGGTCTTGGTGACGAAATTGTTGGATACATCCAATTTCCTTTTAAGTTTTTTTTGTTTTTTTTCAACCGTGTTACATTTTTAGTTAACTTATTTCAATTGATATGTCTTTAATTATATAAGTTTTTTTTTTTTTTTTTTTTTTAATAATATATGATTATGTTAGAAGAAATGATTTAAAATGAACATAAAGATGTCAAATGAGTTGAGTAGATTAACATGATAAGGAATTATATGTCTGTATTCACTACTAGAAAAACCCCCTTCCTTGACAGAATGCGTTGACAGATTTTCTTAACCATTTTAAAAAACAGTCAAGAATTGTAATTCTTGACTGATTGTTTATCGTTTATGAACTGTCAAGAATTTGAAATAATCCCTGATCGTTTTGGAGATTCTTGAAGGAATTGGTTAAAAATAAATTTCGTAAATTTTGTTCTTGACTATTGTAGTCTCAATCCTTGACAGTTTTTAACTATCAAGGATTAAGTATATAAAAAACAAAAAAAACAAAAAAAACAAAAAATTTGCATAAAACTTTTCCCACCCATTTTTTGCCACCAATTTTTCATTCACTATTCCTACAATTTTTTCCTTAAAACTTATGCTTATCCCCTATTTCACTCATTTTTGTAAACCCTCATAGTCGACCTATTTTTGGCATTGGAAAAAAAAGTTCTCATTTCTACCACTCCCGTTCAGTAGACGATGACTCGCTTAATGACTCTGGCGCTTATTCTATGCCTATTCCGATGGAGTTTGTTAATTTTGATGAGTTCTTGTCGAGGTGTATCCCCAACACCCAAATTTAGGGGTGTTCAGAAAAATGTAGAAATCGAACCGAAGTGGTTTTTTGGTTATCTAGGAAACTAGTTCGACTTTGGTTTATAGAAATAGAAAACCAAATTTTTGATTTTACTAAAAAAATTAAAAAGTTATACAAGATGCATATTGGGCTTCAAAAGGAGTTCCAAAAGATAAAGAAGCTCTCTGTTTGGATGCCACATGCTACGGAAATGTTGCCAGGTTCTTAAATCATAGGTAATTGTCCAAATATTACTAATTTTGTGTGTAACTCTCATAGATTTCTTCCTATTTCAAATGGATAGCCTCATTACTATCATGTAAAGCATACTAGAAGCTCCATCTTCATGCTTTTTTTTTTTGTCTTTTGTTGCTGACACTGGTTTCACTGATACAATGACTCTAAATAGTGTATTCACCTGTTATGCAGCTTGCTTTTTTCATAACAAGAGATTTGGATGCATTTAAAGGGCTAACCTGGGATAGGAGACTTGTTTTTATAGATTTTAGTTGATAGTTGTACTCATGGAATGAATTAGGAAATACTTTATGGCAAACAAACAACAAAATGATGATTGATTCCTTAAAGGCTTGTTATCAAATGTACTCATGCAATGAATTAGGAAATACTTTATGGCAATTGTAGAAGGCGAGGGATGGTGTGAATTAAAGATCGTGGGCTTAAGTATTTCTGTTAGTATTATTTTGCTGCATTGGTATAGTTCCATAGTCAGTACTCAGTATAGGCTGGAACATACTAATGTGTCAACGAAATACATTTGCGTAAACTTTAATAGAAAGGAACATATTTTAAAGTTTTAGATTTGCTATTATATAGATAAAAATTTACAGGGATGCAACTTTTGTTATGTGGAAAGTAATATGTACTTGCAAAAGGATTAGTCAAAGCCAAACACATTCCCTTTCGTCTTTCGTCCACCCACCAACTCCCATCCACTACATTTCCCGTTCTTTTCATTCACCGTCCTCCATCTCTAACCCCCCCCCCCCTCCTCCACCCCTTTCTCTATCCATCCTCCACCTCCGTTCGTATCCATCCACCACCTCCTCCCCTTCCCCCGTCCTTTGTTTTTTTCTTATTTTTTCTGTGTTTTCGTTTTAGTCATGTTCAATTCAGTTGTGTGTTTTTCTTCAAGTTCCAGTTTGTTTTCTTTCTTCTTTGTCTAGTTTTGGGTTTCCTTTGTTGCTTTTTGTGTGACCCGTTTAGGTTTCGTTCAGGCCTGCTTTTCTCTGGTTGTTGTGGTGTTGTTGGAGCTGTTGTGTAATGCTAAGTTTGATTTGCGTGGTTGTGGAGCAAGTTTGTGTTTGTTCTTTTGAGGTTTTGTTATTATTTTGATGTTCTTATGCGACTCTGCTTGGATGATCTGAAGTGGGAGTGTGTTGCTTTTGGCTGGTCACTGAAGGTCAAGGTTTGTGGCTAGAGTTCTTTTAGTTTGTTGGCCGGTTTTGATCTCCTTTGTTTGAAAAGTTGGAGTGGTTCTTTGTTTGTTTCTCCTTCATTTTCTTTGGCTAAGATTTCCCTTTGTTCCTATTGGCTTGGTGATTTTCTCTTATGCCTTTCTCCCTTGTGACCGGTTAATAGCATGCTTTTTAAGTGGTTAATCTTGATTTGAATTTTGTTTGAATTTTTCATCTGAATTTGTTTTCCCTCCTCCCTATCTCTTTGGATTTCCTTGCTTTCCTATTGGAGTTAATAGCAAGCTCCATAAGTGATTTTCTTTTCCACCTCACCTCTTCCTATTGGTTATTGTGATTGCCTTATCATTTTTTTAACAAATTTCCACATCACCTTATCCTTTCACTTATCATGCCACCTCACAGCTCGTCATCCCCCATCCTGCCATGTGTGCCACATCACCCTAAGTGCCACGTCATCAGGTGAGTAAAAAAAAAAAAAAAAAGAACAAAAAAAAAAAGAAAAAAAAAAGAGTACAAATTTTTTTTTAATTTTTTTTTTTTTTGCCACTTCTCTTCCTTGCCTCCAATGGGGTCTGTTGAACGTGGAAAAAGCTCTGGTTTGAGTGAACAACATCCAAACATTGTGGAAAAGAAGATTGAAAGTGTGAGGAATGATCATTTGATGAGCCAATTAATGCCTAATGAAGTCTTGAAAGGGGCTGCCATTTCTAATAAAGAGTATGTCAAGTTCGGTTGGTGAAACCTTTTAATGGAGGGAATTTTGAATTTGAAGACGGTGAAATTATTTGGGTGGATAAAGCAGCTGTTTGTGCTGAATCCAAGAGTGCTTTGGAGGGTAACCGAGTTTCTTCTAGGGCTGGTGAAAATGGGAAGAACACAATCTGTCATGGTGTGGATAAGGGTCGTGAGATTGAAGGGGCATCTATTGCTATAGGAAAATTAGGTCTGAATGATGTGCTATTGGCTAATGGTGATTTCAACCAGAAGCTAGGGAGCTATTCTAATGGAAATAGGAGAATTTATGAAAATGTGACAGCAAAGGTTGATAAGATTTCTAAGGATTACCCTCCACTCCTAAGCAAAGCGGTGGATGGAATGAATAGAATTGAGAAGCCAAATGGTTGTGGTGATGAGAAACCGGTGAAAAAGGAGGAAAAAAGAGCTTGGACAAGTGTTCTTGTCTCAAAGAGGTCTGATATTTGTCTTGAATATGTCAAACTAAATATGAGCAAGGAGGGTGCTAAGATTGGACTTTCAATCCCTATTGAAATTGCAGCTTTAGGTATAGACAAATAGAGTAATTGTCTAGTCGGGTTTTTTCTTGGGAAGAAATTGTCGTTTTACTAAGTAAAGAGCTATGTTGAGAGAAATTGGAGCCGTTTTGGAGCCGTGGGGGTCACTTCATATGGGCATAGGGGCTATTTGCTCAAGTTCCTAGATGAGGTTACTAAAATGGATATGCTGGAGGGTGGTCCATGGTTTATAGGAGAGCAACATTCCTTTTTGAAGTTATGGGCTCCTAATTTGTCGTTGGGCATGAATGGGGTTACTAGGGTACTCATATGGGCGAAATTTTATGGTATTCCTCTTGAGTTATAGACCCCTAAGGGTTTAAGCCATATAGCAAGTGTAATAGACATCCCTCTTTATATGGACAATATTACCGAATCGGGCGAAAGGCTTGAATTTGCTAAAGTTTGCATTGAGATTGATTCTTCGGCAGAGTTTAAGGAGGAATTTGAGCTAGAGATTTTGAGTGGTGAGATTGCATTAGTTAAGGTGGAGTATGCGTGGAAGCCATTTACTTGTGCTTGGTGCAACACATATGGACATGTCCAAAGAAATTGTCATTTGGCTCCTAAGGAAACCAGACCATTGTTACCTAAAAAGCTGACTTCTCCTCATGTGCAAGAATGGAGACAAGTTGCTAGTAAGAAGAAAATGAGTGTCCCTCGAGAAGTAAGTAAGGAAAGGGTAAATGGAAAGAAGGAAGGTAAGGCCCCTAAACCTGGTGAGAGTGTGGACCAATTTATGGTGCTATCCAAAGAGCTTGAGGAAAAGAGAGATATTGCCGATGGGGAGGAGAGGAAGAGAGGGAATGGTATTGAGGAGGGGTTGGAAAGAGAAACAGAGTGTGGTAGAGCAGTTTTGGGGGAGGAACTTGCGAATGCCAATGAGGATAGAGAGGAGAGAACTCCAACTACGGAGGCTATTTTCTTGAATAAGTTTGAGGAGGGTGATATGGGAACTAGCTCTCTAATTTGTCAACCGTTTGGGAACTTGGTGCTTGTGAATGAAAAGGAAAGATTGGAAAAGGAAAAAGGAAGCCTTTCTAAGAATTAAAGGAAGAAACTAGTAAAGAAGGCGAGAACTCCACCTAAGCTACCTCTTAACCATGGTTAAAGTTGCTGCATGGAATGTTAGGGGGCTTAATTCCCCTATTAAACAATAAGAGGTAAAGAATTTTATTAGTAGCAATAATTTAAGTTTATATGCTGTTTTGGAGACTAGAGTTAGGGAGAATAATATGGATGTTGTTAGGAAAATGGTGTTTCGCAATTGGGATATGGTTAGGAACTATTGTTTTTGTGAAAGGGGGAGAATTTAGGTGGGTTGAGATGAAGATATTTGGCATGTGCTGGTTATCCAAGCTTCGGCTCAAGCAATTCTTTGTAAGGTTAGAATATTGAAAGATAATTTCATGCTCTTTTGTTTTATCGTCTATGGGATGAATAGTGTGGGGGAAAGGAAGGAGCTATGGAAGGAGCTTATTCACCATGCCAATGTTAGCCACCGTGAGCCATGGGTTACTATGGGTGACTTTAATGCGGTTAAATTTGCGGGGGAAAACAAGGTAGGTTCTAATAAATGGAATTCGCAATGTAAAGAGTTTAATGACATGTGTAAGGAAGCTGGTATTAATGATCTTAATGACATTGGGTCATTTTTCACTTGGAATAACAAAGGAGAGCTCATTAAGAGGATTTGGTGCAAACTTGATTGGGTGATGTGTAATGAGCATTGGAGCAGCGGGTTTCCCAACTCTTTTGTTTTCTTCCTTACTCCAAGTATATTAGACCATTGCCCAATGGTGGTTGATAGTGGGTTGAACTTTCAAGGTAAGAAATCCTCTTTCAAGTTTTTCAATTTTTGGGTGGAGCATGAGGACTTTTCACCTATGGTAGAGAGAGTGTGGAGTTTGGAGGTAGAGGGCAACTCCATGTAGAGGCTGATCTCTAAGCTAAAAGTGTTGAAGGTTGAGCTTAAAAGACTAATCAGGAAGGAGTTTTGGAACATTTCGAAAAGAGTGAAATTTGCTAGAGATGATCTAGTCCTAGTCCAAGTCCAAGAAAGGCTTTTTGTGGATCGGGTTGATTGTGCTCTTTTGCAAGAGGAGAAAGTTAAGGTGGAAAAGATGGTCAAGCTTTCAAAAGCTGAAGAATCTTTAGCTAAGCAAAAGTCTAGGGTTAAATGGTTACGGGAAGGGGATGTCAATACTTCTTACTTCTTTAAATTGATTGCTGGATGGAGGAATAGGAATAGGACTGTGTCCTTGGAAATTGGGGAAGATTCAGTTACTAGTGATCAAGATAAAATCAAAGAGGAGTTTGTGTATTTCTACTCCAATCTTTTCAAAGATAAGTGTGCGGGCGTTTCCTATGAGGGCATGGAGGAACTTATCACCCCTGTTATTTTGAAGGAGGTCGTCAACTTCATGATTAGTGAGGTTTTCAAAGAAGAGATTCAAGAGACCATGTTTGGAATGAGTAAAGAAAAAGCACTGGCGCCGGATGGTTATGGAGTTTTATTCTTTAAAAAAGCTTGGGATATTGTAGGTCATGATGTTGTTAAAGTGATCTAGAATTTCTATAAGTCTGGAAAGATGCTTAGAGAGGTGAATTTTGTCAGTATTGCTTTAGTCCCAAAGAATGAAAACCCTTCATCTTGTAGTGAGTTTCGGCCGATCTCATGTTGTAACACCATCTACAAATGCATATCCAAGATTATGGCCAATAGAGTTAAATTTTTTTTGCCTAAGTTCATCAACAAAGCCTAAGGTGCCTTTGTGGGGGGGAGGAAAATTGTTGACAATATTTTCTTGAGCCAAGAACTTATCCCCAACTATGATAGGAAGTCGGCCAAAGGGGCTAGATGTGCAATGAAGGTAGATCTTATAAAAGCTTATGATTCTGTAAGATTAAAGCTCTGGAGCTTTTTGGGTTTCCCTTGAAGTATATTGAGTGGGTAGCGGAGTGCATTAAAACTCCTAAATACTCCATAGCCATTAATAGGGAATTAATCGAATTCTTTAACAGGTCTAGAGGGCTTAGGCAGGGAGATCCTATCTGTTCCTATCTCTTTGTGATTGCGATGGAGGTGCTATCAAGACTTCTAAATAAAGTTGTGACTGAACCTTCTTTTAAGCACCATTGGAGGTGCAAAGAGTTAAACTTAACCCATCTTTGTTTTGCATATGATTTAATGATCTTTTGCCACACGGATGAAAACTCTCTTGGCATTGTCAAGAGAGCATTGGATCGTTTTACTTTTTGGGCGGGGTTTGAAGCAAACCCCTCAAAAAGTAACATTTTCTTCTCTGGGGTGAGTGAGGAGAGCAAACAAACTCTTTTGTCGATCTTTGGGTATCAAGAAGGAAAGCTACCAATGAAGTATTTGGGTGTCCCTCTCATAACCAAAAAGTTTTCCTTTGCTGATTGCAAACCTTTGGTGGAAAAAAATCTTGGCAGAGCAAATTCCTCTTCTATGCTGGTCGGATAATTCTCATTAAAGTCATTCTTTTTAGCATTCAAGTTTATTGGTCATCTACTTTTGTGCTCCCTTCAAAGATCATCAATGAAATTGATGCTAAGTTAAGGGCTTTCCTTTAGTCTGGGAGTGACATGAAAACCTCAAAGGCCAAAGTTGCATGGGAAGAGGTTTGTGTCCCTATTGAAGAAGGTAGGTTGGGGATTATGAGAGCTAAAGATTGGAATAAGGCAGCCATGATGAGACATGTTTGGAACCTTAATCAAATACGTAGTGGCTCCGGATGGGTTGAGTGGATCAAAACAACCTACTTGACAAGGAAGAGCTTTTGGGAGATTCCTATACATTCGAATGCTTCTTGGGCTTAGAGGAGCATTTTTAAGCTTAGAAGGGAAGCTAGAGAGCATATCAAAATCATCATCGGAAATGGTCAAGCAACTTATGTCTGGTATGATAATTGTCACCTAAGAGGCCCTCTCAAGGATAGATATGGCAGCCGCATTGTGTATGATTCGAGGCTACATCATCTTGCTTAGGTGTGTGAGATTTGGGATGGGACAAGGTGGAGATGGCCTACGGCTAATTCTTGGGCTTTGATGGACATGAAGGATTCTATCGACTTTGATCCAAATGAGGGCGAGGACGTGGTTGTTTGGAAGCCTAATGCATCTGGTAAGTTCTTTATAAAATCGGCTTGGGAGGTCACTCGTGTGCACCAACACCAAGTGGAGTGGCATCACCTTGTATGGTTCCCAAAAGCTATTCCACGATACTCCATAATTATGTGGATGGCATGTAAGGATCGGCTTCAGACTAGGGACAAACTGATGAGGTATGGAATAGCTTCTAGCAATGTGTGTTGTTTTTGTAATCATGGGCAAGAAATAATCGATCATCTCTTTTTTGCTTGTCCTTTCACCCAAAGGATTTGGACCCATATCCTTGAGCCCTCTTCTCTTGGGTATGTCACCTGACCTTGGAACGATTATGTTGAGCACATAGTTAGTAGGTGGAGGAAGAATAAGCTAAAGTACTCTATAAGGAAGCTAAGTTTGGGAGCCACCATTTACTCTATTTAGAGAGAGAGGAATTGCTAGATTTTTGGTGGGGAATGCAAGGATGCACATAATCTCTACAACTCCATCAAGAATGTGGTGAGGGAGAAAGCTATGGACCTTAGCAAGATGATAAAAGATACCTACAATAAAAGACTTGTCGAGAAAAGGGGTCTTCCCATGTCTATTTTTAAAACATCCCATATGAGCTAATTTTATGGTTTGTTGTTATGTGATGGGTTTTCGGTGGTGTAAGGGGATTTGGTTATATGACATCCTGGCAGTTGATTATGCTAGACGAGGCTACTTTGGCAATTGGAAGACCTGGGTGGTTGATCTAATACTTTGTCTTTGTGTCATTAACGGGCCCTACCTTGTTAATGTCCATGTTTATGGAATTCTTCTTGTAAATGCTTATGCATATGGTTTTTGTATTTTGATACTTCTGAACCTAACCCAGGGCATGCCCTGTGATAGATGGGATTCATTGTATTCTTTAATCTCCGCTTGGGTCCATTTCTTTGATAAGAGGAATGGGAAAAAGAGAAGATTAAAGGTAGACTAAGATAGAATCATTCTTTTGCTCATAACCCAGGGCTTATCCTGAGGTAGGTTGGCTGACTTTTAGGCCTTTTGTACATTCTTTCCCCATTTCTATAAAAGCTTACTTACCCAAAAAAAAAAAATATGTACTTGCAAAATTTGCAAGTTATCTTTTGTTTGCAAGCTTAATGTTCTACATTATAAAGCTTCTAGATAATAGTTTTTAAACATATCCTAGTTTTAATAGTTGAAACTGCTAAAGTGTTGTTCAATGTTCCAGAGTTCAAGAAATTTGTATGATAGTTTGAAATCTAGGCATGTTATTGGTTTCTGTAGCAATTTCATACTAATAATATTTGATGCTTCTTTTTATTGGTAAAAGCAATACCTTCTTTTCTTTTTCAGCCTTCTTCTCAAGTATTCATATTTTATTCCAATTGTATGCAGTTAATGTGACCGGGAAATAGAGGGAATTTGCAACACTTCTTAATCCTGCAAATAAACCATTGACACAAATTGTTCAAGATGACTCATTCATGGAATTTGAATTTAGACAATATCTATTTGCTTGTCAATCAAAGGTGTGCAAGACTACGAATTTCTTGTTCAACCTTAAATTGGTTGTATTAAGTTATTTATGATTGAACTGCACTTGTTAAGCTTAACATAAGGTTGGATAAAGAGGATTTTCATTTTTGGTTAGCTTGAAAGCCTTATTATCAATGATTTATGTTAATTTGCAGCTTTTATTCAAAGTTGAATCATCCCTTTGAGGTTGCATCAAGAGGTTATTCATTTATAATTACCTGTTCAAAGTCCCTGGCACAACATGAGGTATCTAATATCTTTTTGTTCATCTAGTTAATTTATAATGTTGTATATTAAGCACTTGTTAAGGAGTATTAGTTCTGATCATGCAGTTCTGCTCTTTTCTTTTACTCCTCTTGGAGTTCTTCTAGAATATATTACCTTTCTATGTGTGAGAAGTTTGCGTAATTACTGCGTGCTTCGCTTTAATCAGTGCAACCTCTTCTTATTACAATGAAGGACTTGCTGCACTTGATATAGGAAAGGAATTCCATCGGCTCCTCGGTGATCTATATTCTTTATGTAGAGTTAAGGTAATTTTTATAGCACTTCATAATGAATCATCATATCTGGTATTTGATAGCAGTTTTCTTTATGGTGCTAATGTTTCCTGCTTTCACTTTAAAGTGATTGATTCATTTTTCAACTGATAATGGGGCTAGAATTCTGGCAATACCAGCAACTTTCTCTGAATATATTTTGTAGAATTTCACACCATTATGGATTGTGAAACTTGTTTCTTTTCTTTCTCTCTTTCTCTTTGAACCTTATATATAGAAATATTGTTTAAGTGGGTTTATGATTATGGCAGTTCATGAGGCTTGCATACCTAATTGGATATGGATCAAATATAGAAAGAAGCCCTATCAACTAGTATGAATTAATTATTTAAGACCAATATCAATTTGAGCCTTTTATTATGGGTGTTGGTTATACCATTCTATAAGCTTGACCTTTGTGACAAAAAATGAATTATCTTTAATCGTGCCGAATTTTGACCTTCTTCTCGCTTTATTATTCATCTGTTAATTTATTTCCTCTTCCTTTGAGCAGTACCTCTCTCAACTTGCTACCTTGGCTAAAGCCATCGGTTTGGCCTTCAGTTCCACTTGATGCTCCTTTGAAGTGTTTGCTAAAGAAAAGGTAAGTTTTAAAATGATAGATGTGAATAAGAGGAGAATGGGCCACGTAAGTATCAAACTTATTTTAGTTGTTGATGTTTCATTGATGTCATAGCATCACTGACGGAAAAAATATGTGTTAAACTTTTTTGAATAATATACCACTTTTGTTGAGTTTCGTTTACTAAATTAATTGAAACATTGTTGAATGTTTAAATTTATTTATAAATTGTGATAATTGTTGTTGGTTGAGGAATATTATGAAGATTTTCATTACATTATTCAATTATTTAATTGGTAATAATATGGAAAATAAACTAATTACAACAAAAATATTTTAAAAAATACTTTACAAAAAAATTCTTGACAATTCGAAGACTGTTAAGGATAGAAAATTATTATTAATAAAATTTTATTATTATTATTATTATTCAAAACAATTTTTTTTGGTTAAAAATTCTTGACAATTCTAAAACTGTCAAGGATTGGTTAAAATTCGACAAAATCCTTGATAATTTATAATTGTCAAGAATCGGTTAATAAATTCTTGACAGTTTCAAAAAGGGTCATCACCCTTTCTTGACAGAGACTTCAATGACGGGTGAAAAACTGTCAAGGAACACCCATCTTGATAGGTATTACCCGAAAGAAAGGGGATTTTTCTAGTAGTGATTTTTTTTTTTTTTTTATAGTAGCACCAAATATGCACAATATATGCACAAGATGTGCATAATATAATTTAGTGTTTCTATCAAACAAAAATATATGATAAAAAAACCCATTTGACA